TGCATTGCATTGCATTGCATTACATTACATTACATACATTACATTACATACATTACATTACATTACATTACATTACATTACATTACATTACATTACATTACATTACATTACATACATACATACACTACATACTCACATACATACATATATATATATGTATACATACATACATATATATGCATATATATACATACATACATACCTATATATATATATACATATAGATGCATATATAATCATATATATAATTATATATATATGTATATCACCGGCTAAGGCCGTCAAGGAATCTGGTAGGATAGATTCACAGCAGGACAGGGCCAACGAACTCACTACTCACCGTCTGCCTCCTCCATGCCAGCCCCCAAGTGAGCCCCAAATCCTTTGATCTTTCCCCAGCCAAGATACCACATCTGATCTCGTTTCATCACATAGCCACTAGGACAGGTAAACATCGCACAACTGGCCATCGTGATACCGGCTGTAGTGGTGCCGGCAACAGTGGTGGTGCCGGCAACCGTGGTGGTGCCGGCAACAGTGGTGGTGCCGGCAACCGTGGTGGTGCCGGCAACGGCGGTGGTGCCAGCAACCGTGGTGGTGGCGGCAACCGCGGTGGTTCCGGCAACCGTGGTGGTGGTGGCAACCGTGGTGGTGCCGGCAACCGTGGTGGTGCCGGCAACCGTGGTGGTGCCGGCAACCGTGGTGGTGGTGGCAACTGTGGTGGGGCTGGCCGTGGTCGTCACACTCCCGGGCACTATGGCACTGATGTAGTCAGCGCTGACAATCGCCATTTGGCCGTTGGGAAAGGCCTGTTCTGCCAGAGCAGGGCCGTCCTTCACACCTTGGCCGTCGAGGTGGTTGCACCCAATCGGAGAATATGGAACGAACCATACATCATATCTGAGGGGTGTAGTAAACCTTCAAAACTTGGACTCAAGCTTGGAGCTGCCACTTTGATTCAGGTTCACCAAAAGGGGTCAAGATTCTAAGTCGAGAACGCAAATCTGATTGCAACGCTGTGGGCAACCCACTTGGCCATCTGTGAGCATCTGTAATACTCTAACAAATCCCCTTCGAACCTCTCCACATGTTAGGTAAGGTACATGTGTATATTATATATATATAGTAATCGATTGTCAATTAAATTAACTGCGTATAATTCGCCAATATGTGCAGCTGAACTATCTCTTTTGGCCCAGTTCTTTGAACGAAAACACATCCAACTTCCAACATCTTCCATGTGACCGATGAGCGCATAGGATCCTCTGTAGCTAATCGAGTCGATCAAGGTGGCCCCACAGGTCTTCAAGGCGTTTTTGGCCGCGGAACTCAGATTTCCCTGGGCATCGTCCTGGGTTTTCGCCAAATTCTTCGGCGGAAGATGAAGAATTTGGGGATCAACCCACAAAATAAGAAATCAGGTGGAAACCATCCCCATAAAATACGAATATCAATCCTCATTCACCATAACCAAGTTGATGGGGATTGATATTCTGGATATGATTATGATGGGAAATTCATCGGGATACTGGCGGAAAAACATCAGCAGGGTGAAGATGGGGTACACCCCCAAATATCAACGGTTTAATATAAGGAAATAAGGAAGATGACGGCAACCTGTGACAACCTATGGGATTTTGGCGTAGCCTATTCTCGGACACATCCGGATAGATGCGCCCATCGACCTAAACCCTTGGATCTTAGCCGATTCAGGGCCCAAAATCCAAAAAGAAATATATTATTCGAACGATCCAGTTTTCAATGATTTGGTTTTGTTGGGAAAGTCTACAGAAACCCTGCGTTTGACACCGAATGTTTGAAGTTCCCAATTCTAACAAACATGGGACCCAACACAGGCCATATTCAGGTAGCAACATGATCAAAATGGAATGGAAACCCATGTGTCAGATTCCACGTAAAATTGGGAATAATTAAGATACTAGAATCAATTTAGGGCTGAGCTGAATTTCCCATTTCTTGCAGATGAGTCTCCCATTTGAAACACTAGCTGAAACATTAAAAAAAACATTTTGTATATCCCATTGTTAGGTGATCATCATATCACCCCATGTTTGTAGGGGAAGCCGGTGGTGATCAACCTGGTGCGATCCTGGCGCGATCCAAGGGGCTAGTGCACCGCAGGCCACGAGTGTTCCACTGCTCAGCCCTTGGATATAGGTCACCAAAGCTTCTGAGCCTGGAACGAGCAAGGTCCCTGAGATAGAAAGATCAACTAGGTTGATAGAGATATAGAAACCAGTAGTACCGCATAAGGCGGTGGCGGAAGTTTCAAAGATAGGAAACCTATAGGAGAGGTTGGTTGTTGTGAATCATGGATGGCAGAGCGAACCCACTGATGGATCGAAAGGTGGTTGGAGTGTCGGGTTATCTATCTGTCTGTCTACCTATGTGTCTATGTATCTGTCTATCTGTCTATTTATCTGATTCTATCTGTCTATCTCTGATTTTGCCTACCTATCTGTCTATCTATCTATCTGTCTATCTTTCCGTCTATCTGTCTATCTGTGTCTATCTGTGTCTATCTGTGTCTATCTGTGTCTACCTGTCTATCTCTGATTCTATCTACCTATCTTTCTATCTATATTATCGATCTATCTGTCTATCTTTCTGCCTATCTATCTATCTGTCTATCTATCTGTCTACCCATCTTTCTGCCTATCTATCTATCTGTCTATCTGTGTCTATCTTTGTCTATCTGCGTCTATCTGAGTCTATGTGAGTCTATATATCTGAGTCTATCTGCGTCTATCTGAGTCTATCTGGGTCTACCTGAGTCTACCTGAGCCTATCTGAGTCTATCTGGGTCTATCTGTCTGTCTGTCCATCTGTCTGTCTGTCCATCTGTCTATTTGTCTCTGTATCTATCTGTTTGTCTGTCTATCCGCCTATCTATCTTATGTCTGTCTGTCTAGCTATCTGTCTATCTGTCTATCTGTCTATCGATCTATCTGTCTATCTATCTGTGTCTATCTGCAAGCTTTGAAACGAAGCTATTCTGCAAGACTACCTTGAAATTTGGAAGTTGAAACCTGAAAAACGAAGCTTTTCTGCGAGACTACCTTCAATTTGGAAGTTGACAACATCAAAAACGCAGCAATTCTGCGAGACTTCCTCCAAAAATCGAAGTTGTCATTCAAAAACGAAGCAATTCTGCGAGACTTCCTCCAAGAACAGAAAGTTGACTGCTGAGCTGATAGCCCGTACCAATGCGTTTTGCGATTTTTCCATCCCATCTATCAAAAGTACCGCACCTGTCACGAAAAGGTAAAGCCAGGTCAACAGTAGGAAGTGCTGCACCGGTCACGCAAAATCATCTTAGCAAACCTGAAGATCTGATGCTCCAAAATGCAACCCCTTGCAGGAAATCAGCATCCTGACCTCCAAACATCTCTGAGGGAAATTTCTCTTCTAGTGCGCCTGCCACACGAAATACATCTTTGCAGATCCTCTTCAAACGTCCCACGCATGCCGTCGTTTTTGCAATTGCTACAACACCCTAACGTTTTACTAATTTTTGGCAAGGTGCACAATCCCTTGCGCCTGCCATGCAAAACCACATTCTAACGGCAAAAAGTGGTCCGAGACCGTCAGCTTTTAACCCTTTTGACTTCCAAACGTGCTTCGCGCCACAGCATCGTGCACTTTTTCAACGCCTCAAGTTCCAAAAGTGGTCCACATGTTTGGTGCTTTTTAACCATCTTGACTTTAAAACGTGCTTCCCACCACAACGGCGTGCACTTTTTCAACAGCTCAACGCCCAAAAATTCTCCAAAGCTGAGTGCTTTTAACATTTTGACTTGGAAATCTGCTTCGTGCCACTGCGGCGTGCACTTTTTGATATCTCATCTGACCAGATGGCTCCGCACCCGCCGCTTTAACAAGCCTACTTTTCGACCCTCTGGAGCCACAAAACATTAGAAAAACAGAGTGTTTCGCGGCTTTTCTACATTTTCGTCCACCTGGACCTTCTTTCTACTGACACTTTCTCTTCTGACTCTTTCTCATCTCTGACTGCTCTCATCTCTGCTTTTCCATCTGTCCATATTGTCGGAAGTTTGACTTCTAAACTTCCTTCGATCAGATATACACAGTTATGTGTATATATATATACTTTTACTCATATCAGATCTAGTCCATTTGCTCACCGCTATCTATCTTGCCAGTTGGATCAGATCGATGTCTGCAAGGTCTCTGGGATGTACCCAATACTAAACCCCCAGTTGGGGATTGTTTATTTTCTAAACCCATAAAACTGGGCACGACTTTCTTTCCCATGGAGTGTGGTTCCCCACCTGCGGCATGTGTGTCAAAGACCTGGAAGGACTCCAGCAGTCCAGCCTGAATCACGGCAACGTTCATTCCTCGACCTTGGCGGCGAGACGATGATCCCGTGGGGAATGCAAGCTGCGTTGAAAAAAACGCCAACGATCGTCAGGAAGCGGAAAAGAAAATGAAATGGCCCCTAAAGCTGCGAATATATCAAGGATTTATAAAGGAGTTTTGTTATTTTGGGGCTGCACCACTACTTCATCACCAATTCTTGTGATGTTTCACCCTTTGAATGGGGAATTCTCTGGGGACCCGGGGTGTTTACCCAATCTTACAGCATCCTCCAAGCTGCCCGTACTGACACTCAGCACGTTGCCATCCACTTCAAATGTGACTTCCATGCCTGCGCTCCTCAACATCTGAGTAGTAAACCCTCCCGCAGAAAGTCATTGGATAACAAGGTTCCACAGTATAGGTATGTGTAGGTTTCTCTATCCATCTACTCTCTGTGTAAATATGTGTATATATATATATATATGTGATTTGTATGTATTCATCACCAATTCTTGTGAAATACTGCTAGGTATCAGTAACCATCATCAAGCAACGCAGAAATGTATATACAAAAATACCATTTCATATATACAAATATCATATCATATACAGTATATGTAATTACTCTCACACACACAGGCACATGTCCATCGTTCACAACCATCTCAAAACTAGCCATCACCATGTATATAGTATATTCTCTATAAATCATAAAATATTTAATAAATAATATGTTTGTAGTAATGCAAATAAAATGATATATATATAATGTATGATGCATAAACATATTTAGACTATATTTGATATAATGCATATAATATGATATAATATGACCCAATATAATATGTATAATACGATACAATACAATATAATACAATAAAATACAATACAATACAATGTAATACAATATGATATATAATATGTAATGCATACAATGAAATATATACAATGTAATATATATATATATAAATATAAAATAATACAATATAAACTATTATAAACTACAATAAACATAAATAAATTTTAAAAGAAATAAATATAGAAATAAAGAACATATAGAAATTAAAAAAAGGAAATAAATATAAATCTTGAATATGGAAATATAAATATTGAATATGGAAATATAGAAATAAATATAAATAGTGAATACAGAAATACATACAGAAATATATATATTTATACATATTCAATATAGAAAAAAACATAAAGATAGAAATAGATATAAATATAAATACAATATAAACAATATAATATAAAGAATACATAGAAGCCACCAGTATATCCATCACGGGTCCTCGAGGTACTGTTGACCTTGATGTTATTGGTCTGTTGGTTGCTGTACGTGGCATTCGCCACGGCGTTTTGCTGACCATCTTCGAAGGTCTGCTCCGCCAGGGCGACGCCTTGGAGATACGATGCTATATCTAATATGCACAGTAATGTGTCCAACATATATAGATGAATACACTATAGATCTAATATATATATATATATATATAATATTCATCTATATTGTGTTTAACTATATATCTAATATTGCCCTATATTGTATTTATCTATATATCTAATATTCATCTAACATGTATTGTTTATATATATATAGATGAATACAATCATACAATCATAGGCATAGACATGTTCATATGTGTATATATATATCAATATTTATCCATATGATATATTGGATACTATTGATATATAGATATACATATATATATACATACATATTGTAGAATTTATATTGGTATACCATCTTATTTGGAATACTGTATATCAGTATTACACCAGTACACAGTGGTATATATTTATTTAGATGTTATAATTTAAACTATATATGTAAGATACCAGTAGCTTGTGATTTAACAGCAGTACTTGTACCCATTAGTTTATATAACTACAAAATATATATGTATATATGTATATATATATTATCCATAATATACCAGTAGAATTTAACCATTAGTAGTATCCTCTACATGATATCTGGAATATTGTGATCCGTATATGGTGGATATATATATATACTACTGATACATTTGGAATAATGCATATCAGTATTGTACAAGAATATATTTGCTTTATTTAGATGGTATATTTATACTAATATAAATGGAATCGGCATGATATCTTATCTACATGGTTCCATGTTATTTTCATAATAGTACATATGTATACACAACAGTTGTAAGTCTTTGTACTGTAAGTATCAACAAATATGTATGTGTATATATGTATATACATGGGAATGCTACATGTGTTGCATGTTTTCTATGATTGGTTGATGCGCCACAGCCGCTATCAAGGCACCATCTTTCAGACCGATCAAGGCATACGATCCCCGATAGGTGAGGCTGTCAATCAACGTGGCACCACAGCTCTTCATGGCGTCCTTCTTTTAGCGGGCAGCAAAGGTGAGGCCTTTCCAAAAGTGAAATGTTTCTTGGTTTATAAACCTATCAACTAAAGTAACTACAGTTGTATTCCCCCATGTTAACCAAGTTATGTGCATGAACTTAGCTATCGAACGAGGGCCTCACCTTGTACTTCTATATCATAATTGACTGTGACTCATGTTTACTACTTGAAACTCAAGTTTTGGATGGTCATGATGTTTGGTTTCTAAATTACCCACCATGATGATAACATTCCACAGCTTACCCTCTGGTATTTTGACATATCTATTGCAAAATTGTCATTTACAGGTGGTTTACCTATACGATTTTCCATAGCTACATTAGTTTACCAGAGGGTAAACAACTCCAATTCTTGATTGATCTTGCGTCAGTTGATTCCCATCATGATCCCCCACTGGATGTCCCTGGCTCTCATTTCTGAGTGGATATCCTTATTGAATGGATTTGAATGGTGTGATAGCCCATGTCTTTGCGTTATAATGACTGTAGATCATATGAGATTCCCGGCTGAAAACCATTGAGCAACACCTTAATCTCCCATGCAACATGGTGAAATAAAAAAACAAACATGGTGCAGTTTATAAGAATCCAAAAGAATGGTCATTGTTTGGATTGCCTAAAATTTCAGCTTCCAAGGTTCCATCAAAAGAAACCTCAAATATGGCTCGCATCGTCATCCCAGGGATGGAAAAACTACCAACCAGGTTCTGTGGTTCTATCATGTTCAACTCCCTATCTTGCTGGGTCAACTCCCCGTTTATTGTTGATGAAACAACCATTTGAAACCCCCAACGGTTGGTACCAAATCAATATTATATCATGCCCGCTAAGCTTCTGGTACCAATAATTCTTGGACTTTATGCTAGTCCCAAATATGAGGTGAAACATGTAAATGGGGCATGGTTTGGGCAATGAGTTTACCACATATTCCGTGTTTACACATCTTGGCCGTTGTGAGTATGATCGATCTTGTGGGTTATATATGCTCATTAGGGGCATTTAAGAAACAACAATAACATAATAACATTAAACGCGTGATAGAAAATACCACGGGATGGCAGCAAAATTGCTATTTGGGGCCAATCCCCCATTTCAGACAAACCCATTTAAATCGTTATTTTAACAATTATCCCAAAATCATGAGTACTGGTAGGGCCATATGTAGCCCTATCCCACAACCAATTTTGCAGATTAAACATGCCACCATATGACACTTCCATTTTATCTCCATATTTCGCCAGCCAATTTCGCCAAAGTCAGGGCCTCCCTTCAGCCGAAGCTTCTTTGGCTGCCACGGTCATGTTGCTCTGCGCCTCATCGCGCACGGCTGCCAACACGAGAGATCCGCTGCTCAGCCCCGTCAGGAAGGTGACCAAGGCTTCCGAGTCCGCCGCGTGGGTATCGAACACCTGGCCCCGTGGGCGCCGGCGCGGGGTGCTTTGAAAAACGAAAACATGATGAGTTTTTTTGGTCATGAAACATAGGGGATCTATGAATAAAACAAATCATGTAACAAACATCTTTTAAAAAATCAAACAAGATAATTTCACCATGAACCATGTGAATTGGACCGTCAACAATTTTGTTTTAACCCAAAACTGTGTTTTACCACCCTATATATGGATATACATACATACATACATACATACATACATACATTGAGAGACCCACTGCCTGCTAAGCATCCGGAAGAGCAAACCGATACCAAAACCTATGATTTGTGGTGCAGGAAGGGTGGCGGAACAGGGTGGCAGGACATTAAGGCTACTGATTTGTGGTGCAGGAAGGGTGGCGGAACAGGGTGGCAGGACATTAAGGCTATTGATTTGTGGTGCAGGAAGGGTGGCGGAACAGGGTGGCAGGACATTAAGGCTATTGATTTGTGGTGCAGGAGGGGTGGCGGAACAGGGTGGCAGGACATTAAGGCTATTGATTTGTGGTGCAGGAAGGGTGGCGGAACAGGGTGGCAGGACATTAAGGCTATTGATTTGTGGTGCAGGAAGTGTGGCGGAACAGGGTGGCAGGACATTAAGGCTATTGATTTGTGGTGCAGGAAGGGTGGCGGAACAGGGATGAGGGGGGATGAAAACTATTGATTTTTGGTGCCTGACAGGTGGCTGAAGAGGGTATTAGGAGGGCACCAAGCTATTGATTTGAGGTATTTTAAGGGGCAGGACGGGTGGCAGAAAAGAGGAGCAAGACATCAAGCCGACGGCGCATGAGATGTAGCACCCATCGGCGTCAAGGAAAAACTTTGTTCCTTGACAAATTTTTTTAAAAATAGCACAATAATACTCACCATGCTTGGTGCTATTCCATGTTCACATCTCACTTGCCCTGGACTTCTATGGAAGATCTCCGAACTAATGCCCGCTGATGGGTGTTGATCCGCGCTGATGCGTGCTGATCGGCGCTGATCCGCACTGATCCGCGCTTATTAATCGCTGATCCGCTCCGCGCTGATCCGCGCTGGGCCGCGCTGGACCGCGCAGAGTCGCGCTGATCCACGCTGATCCGCGCTGATCCGCGCTGATCCGCGCTGATCCGCGCTGATCCACGCTGGTCTGCGCTGGTCCGCGCTGGTCCGCGCTGATCCACGCTGATCTGCGCGCTGATCCGCACTGGCCAGCGCTGGTCCGCACTGGTCCGCGCTGATCCGCGCTGGTCCGCGCTGATCCGCGCTGGTCCGCGCTGGTCCGCGCTAGTCCGCGCTGGTCCGCGCTGATCCGCGCTGATCCGTGCTGATCCGCGCTGATCCGTGCTGGTCCGCGCTGGACCGCGCTGGACCGCGCTGATCCGCGCTGATCCGCGCTGATCCGCGCTGATCCGCGCTGATCCGCGCTGATCCGCGCTGATCCGCTCATCCGCGCTGATCCGTGCTGGTCCGCGCTGATCCACGCTGATCCGTGCTGATCCGCGCTGATCCGTGCTGGTCCGCGCTGGTCCGCGCTGATCCGCGCTGATCCGCGCTGATCCGCGCTGATCCGCGCTGATCGGCGCTGATCCGCGCTGATCCGCGCTGGCCCGCGCTGATCCGCGCTGATCCACGCTGATCCGCGCTGGTCCGCGCTGGTGCGCGCTGGTCGGCGCTGGTCCGCGCTGATCCGCGCTGATCCGCGCTGATCCGCGCTGATCCTGCTGATCTGCGCTGATCCGCGTTGATCCGCGCTGATCCGCGCTGATCCGCGGTGCGCCGCGCTGATCCGCGCTAAATTCTTGCGTACTCAGCTCTTGCTCTAGATCAGCGCAGTTCAGCACGGATCAGCGCGGATCAGCGCGGATCAGCGCGGATCAACGCGGATCAGCGCGGATCAGCGCGGATCTCCAATGTTTGGAAGCAGTCAAGCTGGCTCGGACCAATTTTCCATGTCAAACTCGATTTTTCCTTGTTTTTTCTCGAATTTCTTGATCGTTTTCATGGATTTCTCTTGGTTTTCAGCAAGAATCGATGGTTTTCATTGATTTCGAACTTTTTATGGAGTTTTCCATGTATATATGGTTTTATAGGTTATTCGATGGTTTTTACCGATTTTCTTTATTCTCAATCGATTTTCCATGACCGAGTATCTTGAACTTCCACAGATTTTGTCCAACATGGATCAGCGCAAAGGTCCGCAGTTTGTCCCCAACAGCGTAAGCTGACGGGGTCTTCAGCCCAGAATAGCTCCGGTGCACTGGTGCAGGCACCGGGTCAAGTTCAACGAGGTTCCGGAGAAGGTTCCGAAGGTTCCCGAGAAGGTCTAGGATTTGGTGCAGAGACAGGTCAGGTTCAACAGGGTTCCGGAAATTCCAGAGAAGGTTCCAGGAAGCCCGGGTGCAAAGCCAAGTCAACAGGTTCAACAGGGTTCCGGAGAAGGTTCCGGAGAAGGTCTGGGAGGCGCCAGGTCAGGTTCAACAGGGTTCCGGAGAAGCTCTTGGGAAGCCTTGGTGCAAAGCCAAGTCAGGTTCAACGGGTCCCGGAGAAGGTTGCTGAGAAGGTCCCGGAGAAGGTTTTGGGAATCTTTTGTGCAGGGCCAGATCAGTTCAACAGGGTTTCGGAGAAGGTTCCGGAGAAGGTCTGGGAGGCTTTGGTGCAGAGCCAGGTCACGTGCAACAGGGTTCCGGAGAAGGTTCCGGAGAAGGTGTGGGAGGCTTTGGTGCAGAGCCAGGTTAGGTTCAACAAGGTTCCGGAGAATGTTCCGGAGAAGGTTCCGGGAGGCTTTGGTGCAGAGCCAGGTCAGGTTCAACGGGTCCCAGAGCAGGTTGCAGAGAAGGTCCCGGAGAAGGTTTGGGGAATCTTTGGTGCAGGGCCAGGTCAGGTTCCAACAGGTTCAAAGGGTTTCCAGCGCTTGGTTTCGCAGCACGCTTCAGAAAGATTTGTAAAAATAAAACGTTGCGGCTGTTGGGGATACCACCGAAGCTTATTTTCTTTATAGTTGTTTGCCTGCATTTCCATTTTTTTAGCCGCATTTGTATAGTAGTTTAATTGTACCCTTTAAGCAATTCCACTGACGAGAAAAGTATCTAGAACCCAAACTATTTCGTGTGTCTCCGTTTCCAGGAAACGGGTTTTGGCACGAATAATTTGAAGAAGGAGAGAGTACGCTGAAGTTGCTGCACTTGGGGTTCAATGATGCGAAGAAAATTTCACCAGCAATCGGGCAGACATGTTTGATTTGTGGCCAGCATCTTTAATTGCATAATCAAAACCCGTCACTGTAAAGTTGTTTTCTTTAATTTTGTCCAAGTTGGGACTGCATTAAGAATTATCAACGGCTTCTCCGGGACCAAAGCATATCCTTGACGCTCGGATTCTCCTGCTTCAAATCCATGTTGCAAATTTTGCATTTCTGAAGGAAAGTGTTCAAGACACAGTGACGGAGGCTGAAAAAAACACATGAAAAACGTAAACAAAATATTGGTGCGGGCGTCACACATCAAAAAACTTAAGGAAAGATAATTTTTGCGCACCCAAAGTTGCACCAATAATTGGTGAACCCCGCCACCCTCCCTGCCACCCTCCCCGGCCACCCTCCTAGCACCGCTTTTTGTAGGGATGTTTAGCAGCCACTGGTCCTACCAATACATACATACATACATACATACATACATACATGCATACATAATTACATAAATTACATTACATTACATGACATTACATTACATTACATGACATTACATTACATTAATACATACATACATACATTACATACATTACATACATTACATACATACATACATACATACATACATACATACATACATACATACATACATTCAATACATACATACATTCATTACATACACACATACATACATACATACATACATACATACATACATACATACATACATACATTACATACATACATACATAAATTACATTACATTACATTACATGACATTACATGACATTACATGACATTACATGACATTACATGACATTACATTACATTAATACATACATACATGCATGCATGCATACATACATACATACATACATAAATATATATATATATTGCTGGGATGCTATAGTTGGTGGTGTTTGGACTCCAGATGTCCACCCCAGCTTTCTTCAAGGCTCGTTAGTCTTAATTCTGTAGGGCAGCGTATTAATGCTGTACAACATTGCGACGCCCATAGAACAGGAATACAGTTTCAATAAGGCAGCCATAGATCTCCCATCCATTTGTTTCATCATTACTTTCCTTTCCGAATGTGGTAATCCAAAAAACCTACCATGTGGGGATTATAACTAGCCAAATTATTGGAATATTGGGGATGGGGTTATTATGAGTCCGGGTCTTTCTGGGAGTGCGCTTTTTGGTAAGTTGTATGTATTGAATAATGTGGAACATAAGTCACTTCGAGCATTTGTTTATGTCTGTCTTAGTTTTGAGGCTTAGCAATTGTAGAGCTATAAATAGGTATGTATTGTGGAAGAATTTTTGACTTCAAGTCTTGCGTATACGATATATACATATCCAAGTTTGCACATGAGGCAACAATAAACTACAAGGACCTGAAAGCAAACTTTATTATTGGGTTTACCACATGATTAAAATTGCTATAAAATTGGTTTGTCCTCATTTTCCTTCAATAGAAAAAAACTAAACTGGGTTTTATCATGATTTCCCGTAATGAAACAACTATAAATGTTGGTTTTATCTTGTTTTATCAAAATGTTCGCTGGTAAGAATAGATTCAAACATGGGCCCTCCGTGAACGGCATCCCCATAGCCTGGAAGGAACTCAGAGAACCGTCCGGGTTCACCACAGCGATATTCATCCCACGGCCCGACCTAGATACCGCTTGGCAAGGCCAGGACCGATCGCCCGGGCCCCTTGTTAAATAAGGGGTCTTAACAGCAAAAAATATGGGTTTTACTGGTAAAAATGTTTCTTTTGAACCGAAAAAAATGGGGATCTAAGCAGCAGGATGTCATGGGCATTGCCCAACAAAAAATATCGGCCCTGACTTTGATGACAAGTAGGTAGGCAACCACGGGTTTTGCCAGGGATGAATGGCTTTACTGGAAGGAGGACAATTATGAAAATCCACTTGTTTGGTTAGTTTAATCCTCTTCAATCCACGATGGAAATTTGGTGATGTACGGGGGATGCATGCCTATCATATTCCAGTCACAAATGTGTTATTGTTATACTATGAGCCAGCGTGGCAATGGGGAATCCCCTATGTATGGAGGTTTATGGCTGGGAAACATCTATAAACAGGAGATTTCCCAGCAAACCATGTTTGATTACTGGGGGGTAATCATCAATCAAGAGGGGTCAACGGGTCACTGTTCGCATTGTTTTTTCCTCCTCCATGACATATGAAGTAACCCCATCTCTGGACAGTGTCTCCATTACAACACTTGTGATTTTCGTTTAGTTTCCCATAGCACAACTCTCATTGTTTTGTTTGTATCAACATCTGATCCTCACTGCTTGAATCCCCATTTAAAATTTGTTTATATGCGATGTTCCCATGCAAAATAACAGCCTTTTCATAATATTTCACCACTAAAAAATATTGATTCCCCCTCATTAAACCATATATTTTTTTTATCCCCACGTTTTCTTGGCGAAACTCTGATGTTCCATTCATATTTAACCCCCGGAAAAACTCATACAGTATCTCCAATTCTTGATGATGTTCCCCTTGTTTTTTCACGACATGTGTTCCCAAATATTTCCCAACATGCTTTGTCAGATGTTCACATACTTTCCCAAGCAAACTTCATGTCTCAATTTCAAGCTGCACCAAGGTACTGCACATCCAGGGCTTGTCCAGCCACCAGAAACTCCACTCTTTCGCCATTGCTGCGGGAGACGCTGGTCACCGAGAGCTCCAGACTCGAGGCCCGTAAAGCGGTCGCCAGAAGCAGCGCCAAGCACAACTGCCTTGGCAATTCAAACTGATGAGGTAAATTGCATTACATATATAATGGTATAATGATTGATAATGACTATGACTGATAATGATTGGCAATGATTGATAATGATTGATCATGGGCAATACTGATTGATAATGACTGTTGCTGATAGATAGTGATTGACAATGATTGGCAATGAATGATAATGATTGATACTGGTTGATAATGATTGAAAATGATTGATACTGATTGGTGATGACAGAAAATGATTGATAATGGTTGATAAAAGTTAAAAATGATTGATAATGACTGACAATGATTGATAATGTTTGATTATGGTTGGTAATGGTTGATACTGACTGATCATGATTGATAATGACTGATACTGATTGATAATTGTTGATAATGATTGATAATGATTGATCATGATTGATAATGATTGATAATGATTGATAAGGATTGAAAACGATTGGTAATGATTGATACTGCTTGGTAATCATTGACTATGATTGGTAATGATTGGTACTGATTGAAAACAGCTGATACTGATTGAGGATGGTTGTTAATGATTGGTAATGGTTGATAATGGTCGATAATCATTGATAATGATTGACAATGATCGATAATGATTGAAAACGGTTGATAATGATTGAGAATGATTGATAATGACTGGTAATGGTTGACATTTCTGGATAATGATTAATAATGACTGAAAGAACTGGTAATGAGTGAAAATGATTGGTAATGACAGAAAATGATTGATAATGGTTGATGATGATTAAACATGATTGATAATGACTGATAATGATTGGTTGATAATGATTGATAATGATTGATACTGATTGATACTGTTTGATAATGGTTGATACTGACTGACGATGATTGATAATGATTGATACTGGTTGATAATGGTTGATAATGATTGAAAATGATTGATAATGATTGATACTGATTGATAATGATTGATAATGATGGAAAATGCTTGTTAATGGTGCAATACAGCATGCACATATTTATATATATGCTGTATCTATTTATAAAAATCTAAATTTGTGCATATACATATATATATATAAATATATATATACATGTGTATATATATACCTCTACGCATCGTATAGTAATTAGGATCTAGAATTGTATGATAACGACAATTTAATATACATTTATTGATTATGAGACTATCAGATCTTATTGGTATAAGACTGATTGGTGATGATATACTTGTTCTCTATTGGAATTACATATATATATGCAATGGTATGATGATCATATAATTACAAAAGTGATAACACGGCTGATAACCAATGGTATACTAATGATGATAATCTGGAAATGACAAATTGGTTTGGAACTATAGAATTTTAGTATGAATGATGATAATGGTAGAAAATGACTGATGATCTGATAATAATGCTGGTTATCTAATGTTATCTACATGTACTGGGAATTTATCAGGAAAAATCATTATCAATAGTTTTCATGATGACGATTGTAACTAACCCTGGTTATTATCATTGGCTATCATTGTTCGAAGGAAGTTTAGAGGTCAAACTTCCGACAATATGGACAGATGAAGCAGCAGAGGTGCGCGAACAGGTTGTTTTTCAATGTGTTGTGGCTCTGGAGGATCGAAAAGCAGGCTCGCAAAAGCTGGCGGGTGCAGACCTATCTGGGCACATGTGAAATCAAAAATTGCACGCCGCTGTGGCGCGAAGCAGATTTGAAAGTCAAAATGCTCAAACCACCGCATTCTCGGAGCACTTGCGGAAGTTCAGATGTTAAAAAAGTGCACGCGACTGCAGCACGAAGCACATTTCGAAGTCAAAAGTGTTAAAACTGACGGTCTCGGATCACTTTTGGAAGTCCAGGTGTCAAAAAAGCGCACGAAACTCCAACTACAACTACACGACAACTACAACTACAATTACAACTACACTACAACTACAACTGCGACTACACCTGCACTAGACTAGACTACACCTACACTACACTACACTACACCACACTACACTACACCACACGACGCTTCACCGCACGACACGACACTACACTATACTGCAACACACGACAGGACACTACACTACACTACACCACGCGATATTACGGTACACTACACCACTCGGCACTACACTACACTACACTACACCACACTACGCTACACTACACTAGACCCACGCCCGCAGCTACACCTACAACTACAACCACAACTACACTACAACTGCAACTACAACTACAGCTGCAACTGCAGCTACAAACGCAACTGCAACTGCAACTACAAATACACTACACTACAGTAGACTTCAACTACACCACACTACACTAGAGTACACTACAACTACAACTAGAACTACAACTGCAACTACCTACACTACAACTACAACGGCAACTACAACTACAATTACACTACAACTACACTACTCTGTGCTACACCACACTAATTACACAACAACAGTCACTAGACTAGACTACACTGCACTACAACTACAAGTACAACTACCACTACACTACACTACAACTACAACTAGAACTAGACTACACCACACTAATAGAGACAGGTAGATAGATAGATTAGATTAGATTAGATTAGAAAAGATAAGATAAGATAAGATAAGATAGATTGATAGAAAGACAGATAGACAGACAGAGGGAGAGATAGGTGACAGAGAGAGTGAGAGAGAGAGAGAGAGCGAGACTCAGAGCCTCAACCAACTTTCAATCCACCAGTGGTTTCGCTCTGCCATCCATGCATCACAACAACGCATCTCTCCTATAGGTTTACAGTCTTTGAAACTTCCGCCACCGCCTTGTGCGGTACTATTGGTATTACTATTGGCAGTAGTAGTATTGGTACGCGCAAACCCCCCAGTTCGCCCACACAACTTCTTAGGGATTTTGAAGGAATATAACTTCCGACCCCGTTAAACTCTACATTCAATTGGGAAGATCAACAAGGGTATTAGGAATATAAATTCGAACACCCGTTAGACTCTACATTCACTTGGGAAGATCAACAAGGGAATTAGGAATGTAAATTCCCACCCCCGTTAAACTTTACATTCAATTGGGAAGATCAACAAGGGCATTAGGAATATAAATTCGCACCCCCCGTTAAACTTGACATTCAATTGGGAAGATCAACAAGGGTATTAGGAATATAAATTCCCACCCTCGTTAAACTTTATATGATGATGATGATGATGATGATGATAGTGATGTTGTTGTTGTAACATTCAACGCACAGGTAGCTAAGCTGTGCGTTGCAAGATGAAAGCCATGATCATGGACATGTGCATTTTGTCCCACAAAACACAGTGCTTTTTGATGTTCGGACATGTCGTCGGCGTCGGCGCGGGCAAACTGAGGGGTTTGCCCGTATTAGTACTATTAGTACTAATAGAACTAGTAGTACTAGTAGTACTAGCAGTACAAGGAGTACTAGTAGTACTAGTAGTACTAGTAGTACTACTAGTACTAGTAGTAATGGCAGTAGTAGTAGTAGCAGCAGTAGTACTTAGTAATAGTAGGTAGTAGTGGTCGTTGTCGTTGTCGTAGTAGTAGTCCTTGTAGTAGTAGCAGGAGCAGCAGTAGTAGCAGCAGCAGCAGCAGTAGTAGTAGTAGTAGTAGAAGTAGAAGAAGTAGTGGTAGTCGTCGTTGCCGTGGTGGTGGTGAAAATGAACTATCCATATATCACAGAAAGAGTGAACACACTGAACTCACTATGATATATTATTGCATATACGCATATGTGATTGCACAGACATTATCTGTATATATATATATACACACTACACGTACACATTCTACGTACAGTTATATATGTGTATATATATATATTACATATGTCACATGTATGTGTATATATATACATCTCAAAGTGCCATATGAAACTCAATACAACTCGCGCTCCCGCAGCTTTCTTTTTCCACAGCTAAGCCTATGTCAAATCACTGTCACCTGCAATCCTCAGGTTTGCTTTGGGTTGTCACTGTGTGACTCGTACATAGCCTCAGACCAGTTTCACCACTGGTCAGCTACCTGGGTCTCCAGGTTGGAACCTGCTCTTGCAGGTATCACCCGTCCCTTAACCTAAGGGAGGGAAGGTTCTTTTGGTCACCCCAAAAGAAGATCCCCGAAAGAGGCTATGCACTCGCCTGCCATGCAGGCTCCCCTAACCTAGGCGGACATCTCCACGGGAGGTCGGCTCTTAGGGTTGGGAGGGTGGGGAAAGAAACAGCAATGAATGCTATTTTGGTTCAGGTTTACTTGAGCCAAAATGAGAGCATTCATTGAAGCACTTAAAGATGATACCTGCACACCCAAGCCTGCCAAACTCAATGCATGGGTATGTACACATTATTTACAATATAAATATATATATATATACACAGAAAATATACATACACATTTATCTATACATATATGCAGATATTCTATATATAACATATGTGATCTCACTATATTGTGATCTCAACGTTTGAGAAAGTATACATGGTGTATCTTTATGCTGTGGTTCAGGCTTTATCTGACCAGTTTGGATGAAGAGCAGATTTGCTACACCCTGAAAGGTCGCATTTTGCCCATGAAATTTGTACAAAAACCGGTACCCCAGCATCTGATGGGTCATCATGTCTTACAAAAAAATGTTGCCATAACTTGGTGTATACCTCACTTCTGTACAAACCCAAAAGATCCCAAAAGCATCTCTGGTCTCAGGACAAGAAACAACATGGCCGAAACTCGTGCAAGCTGCCGCCTAATTGATCTGAGCCCACCTTGTGTGGCTCACACTATTTGAAGCTTGAGGATGGCTGCAATAAATCGAAGGACCGAGTTGCCAGGCGAATTCGGGAGCTTCACAGATGCCATGTGGGCCAGTTGAAAGCTGAAGCTGTACTTGCAGGATCATCCTCACATCCAATTTTTATATACATCTTTGCTTCGCAAGTCCAACAGCTGACTAAACCCTGAGGGCCTGGGGCTCAGGTACCTATCCCCAAAGTGAACAGAATCCATGACCAAGTCTGCAGCCTTCTGCGGCTTAAATCACTATCGGCATGGTTTCACTGCCTGGTACCAGACGAAGAGGTAGAAACCCGCAAACACCACCTGAGCTGCGAGTTTTGGCCAAAAAATGACAGATGTCCACCCGAATTTTAGAGATGCATCAACAAAGTGCAGGTTTAGTGGGGAAAACTGAACATGATAGTCAACCGTAGTCAATTCCTGTCTTGTCTGGTTGGTAGTTTCAGTGTCCAAATCATTACCTCCAAATACTGGGAGAGTCAGATCGTATTCTTATTTTTTTAAGGAACAAACAATAAAACCACCAACCAGCTTTGAGTGAATCGCAATCATGTCTGGAAAGCGTTGGGTTCTGGAAAGTTTTGGCAGTGTTTTTCCTCCGCTCCCATGTATTATGGGAAAATACGAACTTTTATGATGGCTGACTCTTGATGAATATACTGTGTATATACTCAGATCTACTCATCAAAAACAACATGACCCAAAAATTGGCCCAAACCTCTCAGACCGCGGGAAATGGCCAAGTCGCTCCGGCAGCACCGATCACGGCCCACTTCATCATTTCAAAGTAAAGGGCAAAGCCTCCAAAATTGAGAAAATCACAGAAAATTGGGTCAAAATTGGTTATACTACCGATATTATTATGCGCCAATTGATGATTAGCACGGAAATTGATGATCTAGTCTTGGGAATTGGGAAAACCTTATTTCCAGCCAAAACCCGTTTATTACAAAGGACGAGAGGGCATATTTCATTGAAAGGTGATGTTTAAAACCATGACTGAGGGATTCCCCAAAACAAATGGGATATCATGGGGGATTAAAAGGATGCACACTGGGACATAATCAACACTTTGGGATGTATGGGAAATGATGTTTTCACCCATGGGATGGAAGGGCCTTTAAAGCCGAAGTAAGTGCAATATTGCAAGCGTGGGGTCTCGCAATGATAGTGGTAATGGAATGTGCATTATCAATCTTTATCCATTTAAACTTTGAAATGTGGTTTAAGTAAAACAGTTACCACATGTTGCCACATTATCATCCAAACTTCTGACCGTTTTGAGACGCCAATGGCAAAATGCGGCAAGGCCATTATGAGAAACAGCGTCAAGACACTGGGTCACTGGGTACCCAGAAACGTTGCCTGTGCCGAATTTGAGACAGACCCAGGTCTTGGTCATAATTCTTTGGTTGGTGACATCCCAACAATGTTTGTTGAAATTCACATGAGCACCACCGAAACATGTGCGTTATGTTTGCTAAAGTCCCGATCCCCAGACCACTTCACGTTTCAATGCAGAAAGGCGTCAGGAAGAACTACAAAAAAACACATTCTTTGGCAGCTGTGGATCATGACAATGGTGGTTGTGATGATGATGATGAAGATGATGATGATGATGATGACGATGACGATGATGACGACGATGACGACGATGACGACGATGATGATGATGATTCTGATAATTCTGATAATTATGATAATTATGATAATTCTGATAATTATGATAATTATGATAATTATGATAATTCTGATAATTATGATAATTATGATAATTATGATAATTATGATAATTATGATTCTGATATTTGTTTATTCATTGAGATTAAGACTGGTTACGGTTATGTTGGTTGTGATGATCATACTAATAATACTAATAACAAGAACGCCGGCGGCGATGACGACAATGATGACGATAAAGACAATGGTGGTCATGATGATGATGATGACGACGTTGACAAAGACAATGGTGATGACAATGATTATGTGTATGTATATATATATACAGTATGTGAATAAACCAAGCAGTAAGACATAAGATCAAGCTAAGTCGTGGCCCCAACACCCCAATCTCACACCAGACTCTGCGCCTAACGCACAGGCCATGTGTAGGATGAAGAGTAGCACCTTCGTATGCCACGGATCAAATCAATACTTGGGGTTGATCATGCTGACCCACAACCATTTGGGTGCCGGAAGGGGACCTTGGATGGGTCAAGTTTAGTTGCCAACAAGTAGGATGATTCAACAGCAACACTGATTCGAACCCACTTTTGGCCGATTCAATTTTGACTCATAACCACATATTACCAAAGGCGGATCAAAGAACTGCTCAATATTGGCCAAAAGAAAACACTTGAGACTTGAGGAGTTCATGACTAGGCAAATGCCAGTGGAGTAAGGGCATTACCGCCGCGGCTGTGTGTCTTTGTCATTAGGGTCTATGTCAGAACAGGGAGACCCCAACAAGCACATGGATCCGCTCTGGAGATCCCAAAAGGAACCAAAATATGAGGATCCATTGGCCCCACTTCTAGACTTTATTTGGGTATGGGTCAAAGTTGGGTGCCCCATAATTGTATGTTTTACTATTAAAGATGAACATTGACCCAGTAGTCATTTGTGAAATAAAATTCAAGGTCACTGATTCAGGGAATATGTTTGGTACCCAAATCAGAGGTACTGATCCATGTGTTTGGTCTGTGTAAACCCGATGCTGGGTGTAGGAACCATAAAGAGCTGGTGGTGCGAGTAGAAGGAGGAACGGATACTCCATGCAGCTGCACAGGAGAGCAGCGGCAGAGTACCTCATTTTTTTGCAGCAGAGACAGTCTTATTGTCATTGTCGTAGTCGTAGTCGTAGTCGTAGTAGTAGTAGTAGTAGTAGTAGTAGTAGTAGTAGTGGTAGTAGTAGTAGTAGTCGTCGTAGTAGTAGTAGTAGTCGTAGTAGTAGTAGTAGGAGGTAGTAGGAGGTGGTAGTCGTAGTAGTAGTCGTAGTCGTAGTCGTAGTAGTAGTAGTAGTAGGAGGTAGTAGGAGGTAGTAGGAGGTAGTAGGAGGTAGTAGGAGGTGGTAGTAGTAGTGGAGGTAGTAGTAGTAGTAGTAGCAGTAGCAGTAGCAGTAGTAGTAGTAGGAGGTAGTAGGAGGTGGTAGTAGTAGTGGAGGTAGTAGTAGTGGAGGTAGTAATAGTGGAGGTAGTAGTAGTGAAGGTAGTAGTAGTAGTAGTAGTAGTAGTAGTAGTAGTATTAGTAGTAGTAGTAGTATATATAGTAGTAGTCGTGGTCGTGGTCGTAGTCGTAGTCGTAGTCGTAGTCGTAGTAGTAGTAGTAGTAGTAGTAGTAGCAGCAGTAGTAGTAGTAGTAGGAGGTAGTAGGAGGTAGTAGGAGGTGGTAGTAGTAGTGGAGGTAGTAGTAGTGGAGGTAGTAGTAGTAGTAGTAGGAGTAGCAGTAGCAGTAGCAGTAGCAGCAGTAGCAGTAGTAGTAGTAGTAGTATGTGAGTGACAATACTATTATCGTATATTATTACTGATAGTACTATGTATTCATACTTATTCGTATCATAACTATTGGCATTACTAATATTACTATTGTTCCTATTGCTGTTATTGTCGTTATGAGTATTGCTAGGGATACTATTGCTATTGGTATTAATAATTTTAATAATTACTAACTATCATTCAGGGAATCTCAGCTAGCAATAGAAAATATGTCCCTTATATATTCCTTCACTAGAGGGTGTGTCCTAATGCTGATCCTGACAGGTATGCGACTTTATGGTCTTTATGGCCAATCTTATATACGGTGCAAAAACAAAGGTAGCAGAATGATAATGAAACACTAACAATATCGTATATACTACTGCGAACAATAACAACAATACAAAATGAAACCACATGCAATGGCATATATGTATATACATTTACAAAAAGTAATAGATATCTAAATCAAACAAATAATGATATTACAACATCATCATAAAAATAATCATATTATGCTAATATTGCAATAATGATGAAGTTTCCCCCATGGTAAAAACATCGCTTGATCTACCCTTCAGCTGTGTCACAAGCACTGGCCAGAGCTGCTGTATGGAAGCCTTTGACGGTTTTCGTGGCCAAGGCTGGTGGTTCCCAAAAATTCTGAAGGAAATGGGTTGGTTTCCAGCGATGGATTTTAATAAAACCGCACAAATTTTGGCCAAGACATCAGCAGGGCATGTCGAGGGCATAAAATTCAGCACATTTTGAAGGTATCCTTGGGACTGCCTGTCCAAATGATGGGATTGGCTCAAAGTCATCATTTTCGGATCTCAAAACTTCAATGGTAGACGTTTTAGATCGCAACAATGACCCGCAGAAAAAAAAGCGCGGGTGTGATAGGGTGCTACACAGAACCATATCCTCCAGTTGTCTGCAGGGACCCTTCACCACTGCGCCTGCTGGTCGATCTTGCGCTGGAACCAAGAGGCCCAGACCCAGCCTGGAGATGGAAGGTGTCCATATTGGTCCATCTATCTGGTGCTTCTTCCACTTGATATACCTGATTGTATGATGGACCAATCAATACATGTATATATGACAAGATATACCTTAGATAGTCTTATATAACTCCTTTTAAACAAGATGGAAGCCACGAACCCGAATGTATTCACGTTCTTGGACTACGAGTGCAAACCTCTGCAATAGGGAAACGAACCTTTGTTTGCATGCATCGTGCGGTTCACAAAGAGACAACTAACCAGCACAACAACATCACCACAAGCACAATGAAATCACAACCAGCACAACAATATCACCAGCGCAATGTAGTCACAACAAAATCACCAACAGAACAGCATCACCAGCACAGCAACATCATCAGCACAACGAGATCACCACCACCTGCCACACTCCACACTTTACCCACTGCACACTCCACACTCCACACTTTACACTCCACACTCCGCACACTACACTTTACACTCCACACTCCACACTCTACACTTTACACTCTACACTTTACACTCTACACTTAACTTGACACTCTACACTTCACACTCGACACTTTCCGCTCCGCACTCCACACTCTACACTTTATACTCCAGGCTCCACACTTTACACTTTACACTCCTCACTCCACGCTCTACGCTCTACACTCCACACTCCACCACACTCAACACTCTGCAACCACCACACTCCTCACTCCACACTCCACACTTTACATTCCACCCGCCACACTTTACACTCCACACTCGCCACTTTCCACTCCACACTCAACACTCTACAGTTTACACTCCACACTTTACACTTTACACTCCTCACTCCACACTCAACACTTTACACTCCTCACTCCTCACTCCACACACTACACTCCACACTCCACACTCCACACGCCACACTCCACCACATTCTACACTCTACACACACCACACTCCTCACTCCATACTCCACACTTTACACTCCACACGCCATACTTTACACTCCACACTCCACACTTTACACTCCACACTCCACACTTTACACTCCACACTCCACACTTTGCACTCCACACTCTACACTACACTATACACTCCACACTCCACACTCTACACTTTACACTCTTACTTTTTACAATCTACACTACACATTCCACACTCTACACGCTCTACACTCCCCACTCCACACTATACAAAGCACTTCCCAGTACTACTTTGTACTGCAAAGCTTGCACAGACTACTTCCCAGTACTTTGTACTACACAGCTTGCACAAAGCACTTCCCAGTACTACTGTGTACTACACAGCTTGCACAAACTACTTCCCAGTTCCACTTTGTACTACAAAGCTTGCACGAAGCACTTCCCAGTACCACTTTGTACTACAAAGCTTGCACGAAACCGTTCCCAGTACTACTCTGTACTACAAAGCTTGCACAAAGCACCTCCCAGTACTACTTTGTACTACAAGGCTTGCAAAGTCGTTCCCAGTACTACTGTGTACTACAAAGCTTGCAACAACTACTTCCCAGCACTACTTTCTACTACAAAGCTTGCACAAAGTCGTTCTCAGTACTACTTTGTACTACAAAGCTTGCACAAAGTCGTTCCCAGTACTACTGTGTACTACAAATGCACAAACACGTGCCAGTACTACTGTGTACTACAAAGCTTGCACAAACTACTTCCCAGTACTACTGTGTACTACAAAGCTTGCACAAGCACGTTCCCAGTACTACTGTGTACTACAAAGCTCGCACAAACTACTTCCAAGTACTACTGTGTACTACAAAGCTCGCACAAACACGTTCCCAGTACTACTGTGTACTACAAAGCTTGCACAAAGTACTTCCCAGTACTACTGTGTACTACAAAGCTCGCACAAACTACTTCCCAGTACTATTGTGCACTACAAAGCTTGCACAAAGCCGTTCCCAGTACTACTGTGTACTACAAACCTTGCACAAAGCACTTCCCAGTACTACTGTGTACTACAAAGCTCGCACAAACACGTTCCCAGTACTACTGTGTACTACAAAGACAAAGCTTGCACAAAGCACTTCCCAGTACCACTCTTTACTACAAAGCTTGCACAAAGTCGTTCCCAGTACTACTGTGTACTACAAAGCTTGCACAAAGCACTTCCCAGTACTACTGTGTACTACAAAGGTTGCACAAAGCACTTCCCAGTACTACTTTGTACTACAAAGCTTGCACAAAGTCGTTCCAGTTCCAGTACTACTGTGTACTACAAAGCTCGCACAAACTACTTCCCAGTACTACTGTGTACTACAAAGCTTGCACAAAGCACTTCCCAGTACTACTGTGTACTACAAAGCTTGCACAAAGTCGTTCCCAGTACTACTGTGTACTACAAACCTTGCACAAAGCACTTCCCAGTACTACTGTGTACTACAAAGCTTGCACAAAGTCGTTCGCAGTACTACTGTGTACTACAAAGCTTGCACAAAGTCGTTCCCAGTACTACTGTGTACTACAAAGCTTGCACAAAGTCGTTCCCAGTACTACTTTGTACTACAAAACTCGCACAAACACGTTCCCAGTACTACTGTGTACTACAAAGCTTGCACAAAGTCGTTCCCAGTACTACTGTGTACTACAAAGCTTGCACAAAGTCGTTCGCAGTACTACTGTGT